AACCCCATGAACGACAGAGATCCTGACCAGTGGTACAGGGAGAGTGCTTTGAGGGGAGGTTTATGTGAGTAACGTGTGACAACAGGCGAAAGTGCTGCTCGTTGCAGCTAAATGAAATTATGTCAGTCCATTCGCTCAAAAAAATCGTCTCAGATGAAGTGTGATAGGGTGGTTGTAAATGTAATATGGAAGATACCTGCAAGAGGCTTGAACCTCCTGACACAACAGAAGTACAGGAGTAACATATAAAATACCTAACGTGTTTCAGTGGTAAGTGATTCAGTAAAAAATGCAGCTGGGATGAAGTGTTCATTTTCAGTTTGGAACATGAACTTCCAGGGAAAATCTCACGAACTCCTGATATCCCCAGTGAAGCTGCAACTGAAAACAACACCTACGTAACACGTGTAAACACAGTGGATCTGCTGTGCTTCTGCTCTCACAGTCGTCGTATGCTGGTCAAGTTACAAGCTTTTAGCCTAGTTCAAAAGGAGTGTGCAATGTTATTTGTTACCCTGTTGAGCTATCATCGAACCGAGGGCTGATCTTAGTCACTGCTGCTCATCGGTCAGTGCTGTTTTATCAAAATCATACAGTTGTTTCTCCTCTAGAAGAATGACCCATACAGAAGTTTTGCTAACTCACAATAATTTCAGAGATACGTAGGTATAAAGAAAATTCTTTTTAAAGCAATGGGTTAAATTATAAAAAACACTTGTGACTATGCAAACAGATCCATCACAATTTTTCAGGAAACATTCAGCACAGGAAGGACATGGACCTGTTGGAGCAGGTCCAGAGGAGGCCACAAGAATGATCAGAGGGCTGGAACACCTCTGCTATGAGGAAAGGCTGAGAGAGCTGGGGCTGTTCAGCCTGGAGAAGAGAAGGCTCAGGGGAGACCTTACTGTGGCCTTTCAATACTTAAAGGGGGCTTATAAGAAAGATGGGGACAGACTTTTTAGCAGGGCCAGCAGCGATAGGACAGGGGGTAATGGTTTTAAACTAAAAGAAGGTAGATTCAGACTAGATATAAGAAAGAAATTTTTTACAATGAGGTTGGTGAAACACTGGAACGGGTTGCAGAGGGGTGGTGAAACACTGGAACGGGTTGCCCAGAGGGGTGGTGGATGCCCCATCCTTGGAAACATTCAAGGCCAGGCTGGACGGGGCTCTGAGCAACCTGATCTGGTTGTAGATGTCCCTGCCCATTGCAGGGGGGATGGACTAGGTGACCTTTAAAGGTCCCTTCCATCCCAAAGCATTCTGTGATTCTATGATTTCTATGATTCTAAGTATGCAAAAATTAAGTCAAACAAAAGGATTCTTTCCGAGCTTTGAGTGCAAAGCTTTATGCAGAAACCTTCACACCACCTTGCCCATGGGTTGCCTAACAACTGAAAACTCCCGAGAAGCTTGACAGGTTTTCTGCCTTGTATGCATGGTTGCCCTCCCAGCCAGCTTGAATAGCAGTAAGTTGAGGGAAGCTGTTTGGTCACTGAGAGAGACAACAGTCCAGTTAATGCTCACCGAGTCTGAACTGGGAAACGAAGCCCAGATTCTCAGTCTCTAGCCACAGCAATCGCATCCCACTGCTGTACGGCTGATGTGAGCTGCAAGGGGCAGACGAATGAGGCTTCCCAGGTCAGTCCCAGTGGGACACCCTCAATGAACGTGAGAGATGTCCTCAGCCAACACCAGACTTCGAGGCTCTAACAGAATAAATGGCCGTAAAAGAATTCACAAGCCCAAACACACAGAGAAGCTTTTTGCATGATGCAGCAGGATGGTGAGCTACAAAAAGCCTTAGTAGAAGACACCTAAGGACAAAATATTCTTAACCGGATTAAGCACTTCAGGACTACATTTAGCTAAGTGCTTTTTGTCTTGTTATGAGCCAGAGCTAAATATAGTAACTAGAATACTTAAGAATAGTTTCATAAGGGTTGTATACACTCCTCAGCAAGATAAGGCACTTAGCACTACTGACAGCAGTGTGTCTGCATGTTAAGAGTATTTTACATAGCTCCAGATAGAATCTCTTTGACCTTAACTGTATTAACCAGGGGGATCAAAATTTATTTATTGCCTCCTGAAAATCCTCTCCTGCAATACTTGGAGAGAAGGATTCCTGAACTCTGCGGGCAGGTAAAGAGAGAGGACACTTGTCAGTGCTGCCAGCATCATTTTTCACCCCCACCTCCAGTAGGTGAGGATCAGCTTTCTCACAAAAAATGCACATCCATCATTGCTTAATGCCCTCTGTAAAGCGAAAAGGTTTTTTCTTCCCTTG